TTGGGAAATAAGCCAGGAGTGATTCAGATCAAGCAGTTTTATAAACAGGGCAAACAAGCAACCTACAACTTGAAGGGGATAGCAGCCTCCCACCCCCGTCCCAAACATGGACAATAAAAATAGATCCCTGTGTATTAACAGTCCCTAAAACCACTTCAATAAAATTACAGAAGCAAACACAATTGAGAAAAAATAGCAAGTTTGGGCAAACAAGCTACTTTTCACTTGGCACTAAAAGGTAATCAAGTGTGTGTCTGATGAATGCCTTTGGGGATGGAGCACCAGGGATAGAGAACCACCACTGAAAAGACCCTGTCTTTTATAGATACTCCCCTCACTTCTGCAGCTCAGAGCACCTGGAATAAGGCCTCTGCTGAAGATCACAGGCCTGAGCAGGGCAAAATGGGCCACCTTAGACAGCAGATGTGGGGGTGATAGTTTAAAAGGCTACAGATCCCTAGTTTTTGAGTTTATTAATGTTTATGCCTTTGGCATCAAAATGCCACAGTCGATCTCTGGTCTGACACCAAAGCAGCTGCCCTGTTAGGCGCAGTTAGCTGTTTTCTTCCTCATACCACACCAGATTAGCAGCACGGGAAGCGAAGGTACTAAAGGTGGAAATAAATTATTACCATAGAAAGTATTGCTCGTTTTAAAGACAGGATCGTCCATCTGGATGTGACAGGGGGACGGACAGTTCCTCTCGATATTCTCCGCGAAATACCAGCTCTTTGTCTCATCAAAGATGGTGAAGAGCAGAGAGAATTCCTGGATGGACAGTTGCCTCCCGTGCGCAGTGCTCAGTACTCCGGGCTGGCAAATAATCAGGGGCCCAATGAGACCCGAGTGCAAGTCTTTCTCCTGGACAGGGAGAGACAAGATCAGTCAGAAGGGAGGCTCCTTATGCATATTTATTTGTAACTTGGCTGTTTTGGCATAATACATTCTGTGAGCAAGGACATTTCTGTAAGAGGCTGTGGTTTTGTGGCAGAGAACTGGCTTTGTACACGGGCAGTCCCAGGATCAAGTCCTGGCATCTCCAGCAAAAGGTTCTGAGGCAGAAGGTGTTGGGAAAGACCAATCTGTGAACCTCTACAAATCTGACATTCAGAATCACAGTATTTCCCGTAAATTAGTGGGAGAACATTTCAGTCTCCCTGGACACTCTGTTTCTGACCTGAAAGTCGCCATCCTTCAACAAAACAACTTCAGCAGGGATCTTCAGTGTGAAATGGGAGAACTGAGACTGATTGAGAGGTCTGATGCAGCCATCCCCCTGCGTTGAGTCAGGATTTAGGATGTTTATCTCACTGCAGCTGTGACTACCTTAACAAAACTGGTGACCAATGCTCCCTCTAAGCTGTGCAGTCTTGTGAGCAAACAATCTACTTTGTGAGCTCCTGGCTTTAAAGGTGTGGGCGAACAATTTGGCTGCTGCATCAGTTAGTTTGCACTGGAGCCATCCTTCCTGAGCGGAGACAAAAATGTGTGAGCTGGAGGCTAAAAAACTGTGAGCTAGCTCACACTAACTCAGCTTAGAGGAACAGTGCTGGTGACCCCTACCCTTTATCATTACTAGTGGATGGCCTCTGCATTTTTGATTTATTAGATCTGAATGATACATCATTAGATTTTACTCTGTACGTCCTGCATTTCATGACTCCTTGGATCTTGCTGTTTGTTTGTTTGCAAACTTTCTGTGCAAAATTACTACAAAAAGTGAGAACCCACTTGTAGCATCTGAAAAACTGGGGCTCTAGTCCATAAAAGCTTCCACTGGAATGAAATGTTAGTCTTTAAGGTACTGTGAGACTCCTGTTTACCTTACCCAAGACCCTGGAGAGCAGGTACTGGTCAGAGCAGGCAGGGCCAAGCTAAAGGGACCAGAGTGCAGCAGCTTCGTATGCTCAAGGTGCCTGTTGTGCCATTAGGAGCCCGCTGCCCTTCTGTAGCCTGTGAAACGGCCTGATCCAGGCCCAGTTTATATAGGTGGCCCCATCTAAAGTGCTAAAGCTTCCCTTGAACTTTATCACCTCAGGTTCTTAGAGGGCAGTGGAATGTTTTAATGTTCCCTAATAATAAAAAAAAAGAAACTTCCAGCACAAAATAAAATCACATGTTTAGGGAGAAGGCTGGGCTGAACAATTTCCCCTGGTGCCAGACTTCTATGTGAAGAGAACTGCATCAATTAGGGTTGCCAACCTCCTGGTGTGGCTGGAGTTATCTCAGTATCACAACTGAGCTCCAGGCTACAGAGACCAGTTTCCACAGAGGACACGGTGGCTTTGGAGGACAGGCTCTGTGACATCACGTAACTGCTGAGCCCCCTAACTTTCCCTAAATTCTGCCCTTTCCAAGCCCTGCCCCCAGATCTCCAGGAGTCCCCGAGCTAGAGTTGGCAACCCTGTGTCCCAAGGGGGAGCACTCAAACATGCACCTGTGCACCTGCAGTGGTAGGAAAAGGATTATACCACTTGATTCTGCTGCTTGTTTAAAGTGGGCTACAGGCAACAGCCCTGGACCTTTATAGGTAAAGGTAAAGGTTCCCTTGCTCGAAAGCCAGTCGAATCCGACTCTAGGGTTGCGGTGCTCATCTCCGTTTCCAAGCCAAAGAGCCAGCGCTGTCCGAAGACGTTTCCGTGGTCATGTGGCCGGCATGACTAAACACCAAGGCGCACGGAGCGCTGTTACCTTCCCACCAAAGTGGTACCTATTTATCTACTTGCAATTTCTTGCTTTTGAACTGCTAGGTTGGCAGGAGCTGGAACTAGAGATGGGAGCTTACTCCGTCATGCGGCACCCGGGTCTCGAACTACTGAACTACTGACCTTCCACAGCCTGCAGTTCAGCATCTTAACCACTTGAGCCACCGCAGCTCCTTCATTTATACCTTTATACCTACCAGGTTAATACTGGAGAAGTACAACCACGCCTTGCACTCGAACTCCTCAGCTGTAGGAGCCATTTCTCGCTGGACTTTCAAGGTGTACTCGCGGACTTGGTTGGGCTGTACCTCACCCGGGCGGAGCTGTTCCTCTTCCTCTCTTTTCCCCTCATAGGGTAGCAGGTTGGAATGGAATGTGTAAGGTCGGGAAGCCATGTTCTTAAAGGTCACCTGGGCAAGGGGAGGAAGATGCCCAAGGAGGAGAACTGTCATTTAGGGAGAGGAATAAGGCACACACACAAAGCAGAGAAGGGTGTAGACTTTCCAATTTCCCGGGGGGGGGGCTGAGCCAGAGGCATTGCTTTGCTAGGAGCAAGGGTGGCTCCCGGGGGAGGCTGAACACCTTCCTGAAAATTTCGGCGGAGGCTGCCGCCCGCCCCCCCCACAAAGATTACGCCAGACTATCCTCCTGCTGTTCCTGGGGCTTCCACCTTCCATCCTGGAAGATCAGGGACAGTCCAGCCATTCACTATTGAGAGTCCGTATCATGGAACTATATTTAGGTTGTTTTGGGGCAGTGAAGTGGCCCTGGATAGTTATTTTGGGAACTTCGCCCCTGACCAATTAGAGTCTGTGTTGCTGGTGCTCTCTCTTCTGATTTGAGTCTCCTTCAATATACCTCAAGCAAGAGACATCTTTAACCTACTATACGTGGTAAGGTTGCTAAACTCCAAGTGGGGCCTGGAAGTCTCCCAGAATTCCTTCTGACCCCCCGGACCAGTGTTCCCTCTAAGCTGAGTGAGTGTGAGCTAGCTCAGTTTTTTAGCCTCCGGCTCACACATTTTTGTCTTAGCTCAGGAAGGAGGGCTCCAGAGCAAACTGATTTATGCAGCAGCCAAATCACCTGCTCACAACTTTCATGCCAGTAGCTCGCAAAGTATAATTTTTGCTCACCGGACTCCATAGCTTAGAAGGGAGCATTGCTACAGAGGTACATTTCCCTGGAGAAAACGACAGCTTTGTAGGGTAAACTGTATGCGGTCACATCTCCCCTGAGCTCCCTCCCCTTCCCAAACTCTGCCCTTGCAACTTTTATACTCTGCTTTTCTTCCCAATGGGAACCCAAAGTGGCTTACAACATAATTCTCCTCTCCTCCACGTTGTCCTCACAGCAACGCTCTGTGAGGTAGGTTAGGCTGAGAGGAAGCGACTGGCCCAGACTCACCCCCATTGGCTTCCATGACAGAGCGGAGATTCAAACCTGGACTCCCAGATTTTAGTCCAGTGCTCTAGCTCTTATAAAATGTTGGAGGTGCTGGATAATTTTTTCCTGGTAGGGAAAATGGTTTCTGAAGTTATTCTAGGATAAAGAAGAGTCATCTAGATCTGATTCTGGCAGTTCTTTTACACTGGCTACTATTGATTGACCAGTGTTCTCCTATTTTCAATAAAGTTGCTCGGTTTTGTTAATAATTAGACGGTAGCTGTATCAGAAGTTCTACGACTAAGAGGTGGCAGCAGAGACATTTTGCAAACTAGCAAAAAATAACGGTGATTTAAAATGGCAAGATAGTTTTTTAAAATCCACGCTGTCTCACCATGATGACATCATCAACTTGGGCCTGAATGTATGGCCCCAAGATGCCCAAGTGCTCATCCAACTCTCCACGGGCCAGCGGCTGAGTGAAATACTTATCTAGATACTCTCGGAAAACCACTTTCTTGTACTGCCAGAAGGGCTTCTTTGAGCTGCTATTTGGACTCCTGCAAGAAACCAGGAGACATTTGATGTGGCATAGCCTTCAGTGAGATCAGGAATTCACGATTCAGACAGTCACATAAGCCAGAGTCAACCTCGATTGGAAATAAGTGGGCTGCATTGTGAAAGTATAAATCAGAACACAAGGCCTTGCCCCATGAGTGTCAGGATTTGGGGTGCAGGGGATTTGTCAAAACTTAGGTCCTAAACACGTGAGATGAGGATCACCATCATGGTCTGTAGATAATATTGTAAACTGCAGGTTTGTACAACCTGATAGCCAACAAAGAAGCCACCATTTTACACATCTGCCTGAATGCATCTATCTACGCTGTTGACGCTGTTAGGTAGCTGAGTCAGGTGGAAACGCCCTCATTCAAATGTCACCCCAGCCATGAACTTACTGAGTGGGTTCACCCACCCATGAACTTAGTCAAGGCACTATCCCTTAGCCTGCCATTTGTAACTGGGGAGTAATAATTTTGGTGTCTCTTTCAGGGCTATTGCTAGGATTTCTAGGTGTCCAACAAGATGCAGGGAAATCCATGGCTGCCTCTTTCCACCATTTTAAAAAGTCAGATAGCAGCTGGGTAGGCCCTAGATCTCAATCTGGGCTGAGGCACAAGGTGTGAAGGAAGGGCCCTTTCTTTCGTGCACAATGTTGCCAAGCTGTCACCCCTCACCCATGGGCTGAACAGCCCTGGAAAGATTTTTAAAAGACAGGCAACCTTTCTCTGTCATTTCCCCCCCCCTTTTCCAGGACTAATAACAAAAAGAATATGCCTCAGATTCTATTGGCAAACTGTGGACTGCGGCCTTGCCGTAGCCCCAATCCAAAGTACAGTGGTGCATGGCTGCACCTGATGGGGGGGAAATGATGCAAAAATGATGGAAGATCCATTCATGGATCTCTCAACATGTTCTGTAGTTATGTGCTGAGACAGTGCATAAGAAATGCTGTGAACATTCCCATAATGCTAAATAATATTGTGAGGAATGGATATTGCTGTCTTGCAAAGTCTCGAGATGGTGTCTGACAAGCCCATTCCTTCCTCCCCTGCCCAGTGCATTTTGACATTATGGGATGATTTGGAGGTAGATCTCAGTAGTATTTCAAGTACTAGGAGTAAGGCCCGTTGTGGGAAGAAATACAACGAGCTCTAGAAGGAAGCTCCAGGTAAGTATCCCGGCTGTGGCTGATGGGGTGGCAGGGGGAAGGGGAAAATAGAGGGAGGCAAGCCATCTGTATTTCCTTCTGCTTAGCTATAAGGCAGGGCTGTCTCAAGTCATTTTGCTGCCCCAAGTGAGGGAGGACAGCTTCATGGTAACAGGTATGGTTCCCTCCACCCCTGACTTATGTTGATTTGGGGTTATGCAGTGGCAGCTAAGGTAGAAAACCACCTCCTCCTATGCCATGTCTTCTGGGTTCCAAGGGTCTGGAAAGTGGTTCCATGGCCAGTTACAGGGTTGTCAACTCTGGGTTGGGAAATACCTGTAGATTTGAGGGGTAGAGCCTGGGAAGGGCAGGGTTTGGGGTGTGGAGGGATCTCAGCAGGATATAATTCCATAGAGTCCACTGCCCAAAGCAGCCATTGTAATAGCTGGGAAATTTTCTGTAGGGGAAATGATGTGCTGTGGCTGGGGAAAATGGTGATTTCTAGGATATCTCCAGGCTCCACAGGGAGACTGGCAACTCCAGTGACCATTTAAGGGAAGATTGGGATATGTATTTTACCTCAGGACACATTAAATGACTCCCAACAGCAACAGCAAACTGTTTAGAATCAGGCTGCATATGCAAATGACCTCTGTGTTCCGACTGGCTATTGGGGGGAGAGGAACAGCAAACTGTTTAGAATACTGGAGGCAAGATTCAAGCAATGCAGCCTGTGGATAGGGACAGCTTCTGAGTGACAGATCAGGGAGCCAACTGATTTGGGAGCATGTGGAATGTTCAGGAGAGTCCATGACCAAAACAGAATTATTATATAGAGAGATGTGCCCCAGTCTAAAAAGTGGTTGACTTTGCCAGCTGCCCTCATAGCTAGTGATAGGTATGACTTACTTGTCTCTTAAATATGGAGAGGGAATCTGGCTCCCATAATCCCACATCACCTCCTCAGCAGCAATGTAATATTGTCGGACTTTCCCAGTAAAAGTACGTGGATCCTGATCAGCTTCCCCATAGATATCAAATTCCTGACTCTCCTCAGTAGCACTGTAGTCATCGTACTGAGGGTTCTCCTTCAGAGGCCTCAAGGAGTCTGTGACCTCTGATTCGTCAAGGCCAGAAGGTTTCGTAGAGGCCTCCACATGAATGAGGCCTGGGGCCCTGCTTTCCCCTCTGAGGAACTTCTCCATTGGGTTTCCTCCTGCTTCCTCCTTTTCTTTCCACTTAAATGTTTGTATTGTACCACCTGAAGGAGCAATGTCACCTTCACTATTAAATACCTCTTGATCGATGCTAGATCCTCTCAGCTGCAACTGCAAATCAGTTTCTGGGTCAGCATGCCTCTTAACTGGAGCTTCTAGGGTCTCAGGCACTCCAGCCTCATTCATCTGCCTGCCAGTCTTCTGTGGGACAGAGCTGGCATTTGTGGTCTGTCCTCCCACAAAGGTAGGAAGAGTAAATCCTATGTTGGTTTCTGTATCGTTGTCCCCAAGGCCTGTTTTAGTTCTGGAATAACTAGGGATAGTAATTGTGTCCACCCTCTGATCGCTGCCATTTTGAGCAACCAGTTGTGCCCTCTCTGCTTGAGAATCAGGGCTGCGTGAGTAATGTGGAGCTGGACTGGACTGGATAGAGCTTGATAAAGGAGATGGCGATGATGTTGTCCTGCCGGGGCTGGTTGCTCCATGATTTCCTGCAGTCTCATCTCTCAAAGGTGTCCTTGGTACAGAAGTTTTATACTTATTGCTTAGCTTGAAGAAAGAACCACCAAGCAAAGCCTGAGTCCTTCCTTCCATTTTACTCAAATTATTTGTTCCCTCTGCTGTGATACCATGTGTCTCTTCTGATGTGGCTTGACGTAATTTCAGGGATCTCTTCTCCAAGCTGGATTTCATCATGAGCTTTACATTAGAGTGTCTATAGTTTCCCAAATTAACTCGTTGAGATGGAGGCAAAGTCCTATAATGAAATACTTCATTATTTTCTGATAAGTTAACTTTGGGAAGGTTTATGGTGGTATCTTCTATCAGACTATCTTGTACAAGGTTTTGTTCCCCAGATATATCCAGTATTCCATGGGAAGTGGGAATATTCTTCCTGTTGTGTACAACATCAAATCTGGCCCAAAATCCATTTCCTCTCCCTAACAGTCCCTTGCCTTGACCAGCTTTTAGGAAACTTTCTTTGAGAGGTAAGTCATCAGTTTCTTGGGCAGCATGCAAGGGAAACACAGAGGAAATATCATTACTCTCCAGAATATCACTAGCGTATACAGCCTTGTTTGTAACTTTTGGGTTGTCATTTAATCTATCTGAATCTGCTGTCACATCATTCTGAGCAAACAAGGAACTACGTTCATTCAAAACATTCGAAACAGCGGGGCTTCTAGTGACTGTGTCCAGTCTGAGTTGTGCAATTGTCTTTGTCTCATGACCCTGAAACCCCCTTTCTAGAGGTCTTGAGTTGCTGTCTTGGTCGTGGGAGACTGTATGAGCAACATCGTTGACAAGAAGGAAGTCTTCCTTTAGAGGTGCAGAAGTCCCTCGATTTCCCACAATTGTGAAGGATGTTTCTACCTGTGATGTAGCAGCCATCTTTTCTGTTTGTAATGCTTCTCTGGCTATAAATGATACATTTTCTTGGAGAGTTGCATTATGGGACAAGTAACTATTCGAAGCATGAGAGGTTGTGTTGTAGCTCAGCAATGCAAGGTCTTCAGCTCCAGAGCTAGTTTTTAATGTTGACAAATTAGTGCTTTGAGTCTCCAGGGACCTGTCGTGAATAATTGCCTTGATCAGCAAGTCATGTAATGGTGATGAAGTTCCACTTATGTTCAAAAAAATACTTCTGTCCACAAATGACATCATTTCTGGCACTGTTGCAGCATCTGGTGTTCGTGTCGTAGTATTCCATTTTTGAATGGTGTCTAGTTCTTCTAATGATGCTTTTTCAGGGAAACTGGAGTCCAGATACACTGTATAGAGATCCGACAAATTGTCAGTTTTAAGAGAGGGTTTTTCTGCATTCAAGTTCAGGTTTCCTGCAGAGTCCTTACCATCAACCAGCTCCTTTGGGTGAGCAGTTGTAACATGGCCTTCAAAGAATCCCTCCATCTCTACCAGAGGAGGGATATTCTTTCCTTTTTCCTGTTGCGTTGAGTTTATTTGCTCTATTACAGCTTCCTGAGTTGGCTTGTATATTTTGAGGACAGCAAGCTCAGTATTCAGATTAGCTGCAGTCTCTAATGAACTCTCGTTCTTATGTGCCTCTTCATGTACAACAGATGAACTACCTGAAAGAGAAGCACCTTGGAAACGTTGCCCAGGCATGGCTGATGGTCCTTCTTCTGCTGGAAAAGGATCACTGGGCAAGACTTTAAAGAGGGGCTCTTGGGGAGGAGGTGAATACATGTCTTCTAAGAACAGAGGTTCTTCTGGAGCCATTAATGGGCTGGGAGAATTCTCTGTGCTGCTTAACTTGATTAGCTGGGATGGTTCCTCAATGCATGGAGGCCTGTTGTCATTGGTCATCTGCATTTCATTTTCTGAAGAGGAGGTGTTGTCCTGGTGCTTCTTTATGCATGGTTTTGGCCGCCTTTTTTTCTTGGAGAAGCCTCTTGGTTGTAATTCATTGTGTTCAGTTGCGTAGTAATCTGCTGTCTCTTCATACTCACTGTAATAGTCTTCATCACCAGGCGTGTTCTCAGTGCACCTGGAAACAGTGAATTTGGCTCTCATCCCTCTTCTTCTAAATTCAGGGTTCAAGCATCCCAACATCCAGATACCTGTCACAGGTAAGAATTAAGGGAGGGAAAGATTAAAGATTGCACCAGGTACATTTTACATGCATCAGAGCCACACACTCTGGTGGCAAAACAAAAAAACCAAAGACATAGCTTTCCTATTTGTAACTATTGTAACAGCAGAAAACCAACAACAACTGTTTTAAAAGGTACATGCCAATAAAGGTTGTCTGTCTGTCTGTTTGTTAAAAAAATGACAGGATTCTTGATGTGAGGGCATCCTTTTGCTCTGCTAGGAGAAGGGCATTTAGGTTGTACTTCTACTAGACAGACAAGAAGGCCTTTTACTCTTGCTAGACAGTCAGGAAGTATTCTTCTTTATAGAGGACGGAGGTAATACTTGGGAAAGGTTCATGCTAGAATAAGAATATCAACATTTCTTTAAAGAGGAACCCATATGCCTGCTTCCTTTTCATAGCACTTCTGCTAAGAAAAACACAGTACATAAAGTACACACAGTACATACAGTAAAGTGTCTTCAAGATTCATGATGCTGAAACTGAGATTCAGGTCAGTATTATTTAGAACAGGCACAGTGGCTGAAGCAGTAACTCTAACCTGGATTCTCCATGACCATGAAGACGGTCTCCCCGGTGTGTGGAAAGAGTGTGAGGGTCTCCTCAAAGACCGTGTTGTACTTAAAAATATTCCCAGAGAAGAAAACAGAAAGGAACTCCGTTTGGGCACCCACGCTGAGGACATACCAATACACCACTTTATTCAAGCAAAGATTCAGATGTAGATTATCAAAAACGTAGCCATTGATGCCTGAAAAGATCCAGGAGATGGGAGAAGTTGCGTCAGTATTCAGGTCATTCACACATGGTAACTCTAACCAGGAAATAGAGAGTTTCAAAAAGGGGTTGAACCTTCTGGATCAGACACCCGTTCCCTGTTGCCTCCACTGTTTAGAGGATGGAACTACAGATAAATTGAACTGGGATGCAAACACCGCAGACCAGAATTCTCTTGGTCCTGGGAAACCACTGCGCTCCAAAAGCCAATCCTGTGTCATCACTGGCTATATAGCTCCCAGGTCTGCTGAGCTCCGTCCGTCTGGGGCAAATTATATCAGAGGAAAGCCTCAAATGGCATCTGAGACTGGCCTAGACGGACAGCTATGGGGACCCTAGGGGACCAGGAGGGCCTACTGCAGATCCCAAACTGATGCAATATCAGGCCCCGGCAGCAATCCTTGAGTGATACTGGGATGGGGCACCGTTACCCACCCTCCAGAAAACCTGCAGCCTGCCCTGGTCACTAGGTTACCAGTCATCACACCCAGGTTGCCCAATCACTGACCCCTCTGCATCATGTGCTTCCTCACTCTCCAATCTACAAGCACTTGAGAGCCGGTTTGGTGTAGTGGTTAAGTGTGCGGACTCTAATCTGGGAGAACCGGGTTTGGTTCCCCACTCCTCCACTTGCAGCTGCTGGGTGACCTTGGGCAAGCCGTAGTTCTGTCAGAGCTGTCCTTGAAAGGGCAGTTCTGGAAAGAGCTCTCTCAGCTCCACCTGCCTCACAGGGTGTCTGTTGTGGGGAGGGGGAGGGAAAGGAGATTGTAAGCCGCTCAGAGACTCCAAGTGAAGGGCGGGGTATAAATTCAATCTCTTCTTCTTGGGTATATAAATTAGCTCTTTTTAAACTATGGGCCTGAATTTCAGGGATGACAAATGAAGCTGAGGAAAAACTAAAGTGAAGACAAATTTAAGCTGAAGAATATGCAGTCTAGTATCCCTTGCTGGAATTTGCTTGCTAAAATCTGAATTTATAATCTCCTAAATAGTTAGCTCCCATTGCTGTATCATTTCAGACTGAAGGTAGGGGGCCTGCGTGAAGAAGTCATCCTCCATACAATTCCCCCCCCCCCCCCCCGCATAGAAAATTAGCATGCCAGGGAAAAAAGGATCTTGCCTGTCTAATGGCAACTAGGCCTGCACTTGTCACCCGTACAAAAAGCATCCCTCTGGAAACATGAGCCTTATCATTATGGGATGGAAGACAAGAAAAGTAAACAGTCACTTGCTTTTTAATTTTTTTGGACGATCTGAACTAATCCTGATTGTGTGATTTCATCTTCCAAGTGTCCTTGAACCTAGAACTTTTGCCTATCTCTGCCTGTACCCACAGCACTGGTCTTACCAATGGGATAGCTTTATCAGTGGGATTGCCTAGGGCCCCACGCTAGGGAGGGCCTGATGGCCAATGGAGGTGAAAGTGATGAGAAATAAGGTAAAGTTAGGCCCCGGTCACATGAGCTCCGGAGCAAAATGAAGTGTGGTATCGCGATCAGACGTTCCCCCCAAGGCTCTGTGCTCAGGCTGTCAGCCGCCAATCACACGTTGACGATGAAGCATGGCAAAGAAGGTCAAGGTGGTTCAAGCAGTACCTCATTGGTCATGTGGGCATTTGTGCGCATACCATGGAGGCTTACAAGAAAACATCCGGTGGGACGCAGACGGGCGCCGGATGCAATGGGATACCAGCGCTTCCGCGATCAGACGCTCACCCGCGCCACGCGTTTTCCAGAAAATACTGCACTTTCCCAGGTATCTTTTTACTCCACATCTTCGGTGGGGCGATACGGGTTACCGACGGGTACAGCAAACTTACCAGATGTTCCCGTGTGATCGTGCCCGTAAAATCCGCCCGGCATTCGTCCCTATCGTGCGGCTAATTCTGCGTGTGACCGGGACCTTAGAATGCAAACTGGTGCATTTTTGAAGGGGCATGCATTGTGAAAACTGAGCTCTTCATTCTTGTTCAGAGTGAGTTGGGTGGGAATAAAAGGGGTATGGAGGGCCAATTCTTGACTTTTGCCCAGGTCCCCAAAATCATGGCAAGAGCCACTGCTTGGGGTTACTCACTGTGCATGACGTTGGAGGCATAGAACTCTGGATCCTTCGGGTTGACATGGGTGGCATCAGCACAGAACGTATCGATATTCTTCTGCAAGTACCAGCTCCTGTTTTCATCGAAGACCGAAAAGAGCACAAATTTTGCTTCATCTGACATTATCTGGAGGGAGACCACAAAGATAGGATTTGGGTTGAGTCATTGGTGGAACGGAGCTGCGGTGGCTCAAGTGGTTAAGACGCTGAACTGCAGGCTGTGGAAGGTCGGTAGTTCAGCAGTTCGAGACCCGAGTGTGCCACATGACGGAGTGAGCTCCCGTCTCTGGTTCCAGCTCCTGCCAACCTAGCTGTTCGAAAGCAAGAAATTGCAAGTAGATAAATAGGTACCACTTCAGTGGGAAGGTAACAGCGTTCTGTGCGCCTTGGTGTTTAGTCACGCCGGCCACATGACCACGGAAATGTCTTCGGACAGCGCTGGCTCTTCGGCTTTGAAATGGAGATGAGCACTGCAACCCTAGAGTCGGATTCGACTGGCTTTTGAGCAAGGGAACCTTTACCATTGGTGGAACAGATCAGCTTCTGTGGCTCCTTGAGAACCAGAGGTATGTGGGAGGAATGCCCACACTGCAGGTTGCTTATTTCCTACTTGCATGGCTGTAGCTCTGGGGTTCATTCCTCTTAAGTTCTCACCCACTTTTAACCTCCATTTTATTTTGCTGAACCCTTCAGTGTTATGCTGGGGTCAGTATTATTTTCCTGGCTCACTGGTAAACACCAGATACAAATCCAGAGGATTTCTTGAAATCCTGTGTTTCTCGAAAGCTTATGCTACAATAAAGTTTGTCAGTCTTAAAGGTGCTATTGGGTTTCTTTACTATTTACCAGATACAAAGGCATCTATGGAGTCCACCCCCAATTCAGTCACAGAGGAAAGCACCTAGCAGAATCAAGATGGTTTGTTTCTTCTAAGTCAGCCCAGAAAAGATGTTTGGAAGAGCCATAAACTGTAGCCAGTTTGGTGTAGTGGTTACACTTATGATCTAGAATCTGGGAGATCGTTTCAAATTCTTAATATGCTATGAAGCTTGCTATATCACAGGAGGGTTATTGTTAGGAAAGGGAGGTGCCACTCTGCGTCCTTTGGAGGAAGACTGAGATAAAAATGTGTTGTTGTTGTTGTTGTTGTTGTATAGCGGCTAGAATACTGGAATAGACCTGGGAGCAGTGTTCCCTCTGAGCTGAGTTAGTGTGAGCTAGCTCACAGTTTTTTAGCCTCTGGCTCACACATTTTTGTCTTAGCTCAGGAAGGAGGGCTCCAGAGCAAACTAATTTATGCAGTAGCCAAATCACCTGCTCACAACTTTAATGCCAGGAGCTCACAAAGTAGAATTTTTGCTCACAGGGCTCCACAGCTTAGAGGGAACATTGCCTGGGAGATGCCGATTCAAATCCCCACTATGTCCTCAAGCTCACTGGGTAACCTTGGGCTAGTTGCTTTCTCTCAGCCGAACCTACCTCACAGTATTATTGTGAGGATAAAATGGAAAATGATGTACACCACCTTAAGGTCCCTGCAGGACTAACATGTAATGAAGTAAATAAATGTTCTAAATAGAATGGGCATAAACTCATGTCACAGTGCCTTATATGACTGTTTTTCCATAGGGACACGAAGTTCAAAAGATCAGAGATCAAAAGAAAAATACAGGGTGTTGGAGGTGTCAGAACCTGAGTTTTCTGCTCAATTAACTACATGTGATGTTGGAGTTCAGTGACTGGAATCCCTCAGTGTGGCACATTCCGCAAGAGCAGTTGTAGTGCCCTCGGTCTCCCGTTTTTCCCCGCTTGTACTGCTCAGTTTCCCACTATTTGCTGCGCGGCCGCATTTTGACCCGCATCTCCCCTCCGTCAACTGCTTTTGTGGAATCGGACGGTGTTAATTGTATCTAGCAACCACATAGTGCCCAGTGTGAATCAGAGCAGCAGGGGAGGGAAAAGGGACATGAACTTTCCTGCCCCAAAGGGCTTTTCTTGCGGGCGGGGAAAGCACCAGGATTCAAATATGTGCAGTCCGCTCATCATGTTACTTCAATGCATCCAAGCCTTCTCTGAAGATGCAGTGATGAGCCCACCTGATTTCCCCGCTGGTCCATGGTCTCTCTGGAGCAGATCAGCAGAGGTCCAATAAGTCCAGAGGCTAAGTCCCGACTAGGCCTGAGGGAGCTATAATAGAAACGAGTTAGGCAGCGGGCGTCAGATTTGGTAGGGCTGTCTTCAGGCATTATATTCCACCGGTACTCGATCCATTGGCCCGGTTGAATGGCCAAGCGTTTCATATTGTTAGCTGGTAAGAAACAATCCACAAGATCATCTTGTTACTACATCTGCATTCAGCCTTTGAAAAGCCAGAATAAGCAGAAGATTTTGATTCTTCCCTTTTGAGCAGAAACCCCACCCCATCATGTTCCTGATTTGGGTTCTTCCCCATAGACTATGAGTCTCCACCCCCTGTTACATTCTGGGTTTAGGTTCCTCCCCCATAGACCAAGAGTTCCCTCTCCCTTGACTTTCACTACCTTCATAAACACACTGGAAAATACAAGCTATGGGACTAGGGAGAAGGAAATGAAAGAGAATGATTTCAGTTAGAAACTAGAAGGGGACTCTTTCGTCAGCACCATAGCTGAGACATTGGCGTACTCTGATACTGATTCCCCCTTGTTCCAACATTTCCTGTGACCACTTTTTCCTTTTTTCTCTATTGAAGCAGAATAACTTCATGGCATGATCTATAAGGAAATGTAACGTTAGGAAAAGCAGAGCAAAGAAAAGACGTTTTAACACACACACACACACACACATTTAAACTGACTTACAGAACATACTGCTAGAAGATGTAGCAATGGCAACTGGCTTTAAAAGAGAGTTAGAAATGTTCATGGAAGATAGAACCACCAATGGCTATTAGCCATGATGACTGAATAGAACCTCCATGTTCAGAGGCCATGTACTTCTAAATACCAATTGCTGGGGGCAGGGCAACCATAGGAGGTGATTTTTGTATATATTGTTTGTGGGCCTTCCAGGAGTCTCTGGCTGACCACCGTTGGAAACAGGGTGCTGGGCCGGATTGACCCTTGGTCTGATCCAACAGGGATGCTCTTACAATCTTAGATACATAGGCTGCAGTCTCACGCACTAAATAATCCACTTTCAATCCACTTTCAGTGCACTTTCCAACTGAATTTTACTGTGTGAACTGGATTATTTAGTATGTGTGACCGCAGCCATAGAAAGGCAAAGCTTAAGTATCTTTGTATCGAGAGAATTTCAACCGGTGCAGAGTCTCAAGCAAGAGTGAAAAATGTACACTCGCCAAAAATTTCATGTTCTGCATCATTTTTTATTCTTTCCTGGCTATGGTTAGAATTAAATTGCAGCAAGCAAAGAATTTGCTGAAATTGTTTCTCATAATAAATATATAATGAGAGAGCTTTTAAAAAGAATTTTCTATGTACCTAACACATAGAGTCTAGACACCTTCATGTTTATCGAATGTTTATTCCCCCTTTCTTCAAGAAGTTTAAGGTGACATACATGGAACCTCCTCTTTGCTGGACGGAGTTCAGCCCTCCCGACCACTAGAGCACACTACACAGGTTCTTTGGACATTTGCTTTGCGTAAGCAGTCTGCAGAACAAGTGAGCTGACCAGAGGTCTTGCTCCTCCTGAGCAAACGTGTGTAGCCTTCCCTTGCTTTGCTCACTGCCTGGAAGTAAGTGTTCAGCTATCATCAGCTTTGTCACAAAACTCTTTCTGGACCTTTCTTGACAGAAGGGGGCAGCATCGGCCTTTCTTTGGCATGCCAGATGATGGCAGCTGAGCAAAGAAAGAAAAGAGGAAACGGGGCAACCAGAAGATAATTGTATGGTAAACTCAGTTTGGGCAGAGGGTCGGAGGCTGTCTCCTTTAGAAAAGATGCCCCCAAACGAACGAATGTACGGTTGTAAACAGCCAGGTAGGGCTTGGAGACCTCTTGGAATTACTGCTGATCTTCAGACTACAGAGATCAGTCCTCCTGGAGAAAAGGGCTGCTTTGTAGAGTGGACTCTGGTGAATCAGAATCAGAATTTATTATTATGTTTGCTAGACCATCCATAAGGACATAAGAGAAGCCAAATGTTGGATCAGGCCAGTGGCCCACCCAGTCCAACACTCTGTCACACAGGGGCCAAAAATACCAGGTGCCATCAGGAGCTCCAGCAGTGGGGCCAGGACACTAGAAGCCCTCCCACTGTTGCCCCTCCCCCAAATCTATATACATATAGTTATAATTTAAAAAATTTACATACAGAATACACAGAACAAAAAGATTAAAACTTAGAACCAGGGGTATTTTTGGGCAGGAACACACAGGAACGGAGTTCCGGCTGGCTCCCAAGTTGGCCACGCCCAGCAGGAACTAATTAGCATAATAGGCCACACCCAACAGCAGAAACTCATTAGGATTGGCTACATTAGGGGTGTGTAGCCTAACATGCAAAGGAGTTCCTGCTACAAAAAAAGCCCTGGGTTTGGACAACAAACAAGCTAAACAGAATAAGAAGCAAAAGGTGGGTGTGGCTGGATGACCACACTTCTGGTAACATGGGCCTAATATGCCAATGAGCTGTGCTGTCAGGGGTGTGGCCTAATATGCTAATGAGTTTCTGCTGTTGGGTGTAGCCTATTATGCTAATGAGTTCCTGCTGGGCTTTTTCTACAAAAAAAGCCCTGCTTAGAACCTAATTAAAATACAGCTTCCGGACCTCAGTATCAGTACACAAAATCTAGCTACTGGATAAGTGATCCTAGGATTCTTATCAGATAAAAGGCAATCGAGACTATTTGTGCAACCAGGAATTTTCTCCAGCAACAGAGTGATGATCTCCAAACGAGCCTCCTTATAATACAGGCAGCTAAAGAACATACACTCAATGGACTCGACCCCCCTTAATGACTCTGGTTCTACACCCCACTGAAGGTCCCCCCCAGACCCCGCCCTCCCCAGGCTCCACCCCCAAATCTCCAGGAGTTTCCTAACCCAGAGTTGGCAACCCTAAACCAATGTGATTAGCATGCAAACCCCAGCATAATCCGGTGTGTATGAAATTATCTATATTTTAGAGATGTTCCCTTATCTTTAACAAGAAATTGGTAATCTGTGGGCTTGCCCTAAAATCAGATAGCTTTAGCTTGTTCTAGAGCAAGGTATGGTTTAGACTACTAGGCAAGAAGTTTTAATGGCTCTTCATATTAAGGTTGTTTTAAGACATCCATTGTTGTTCAATGTTCCCTCTAAGCTATGGAGCCCTGTGAGCAAATATCCTACTTTGTGAGCTATTGGCATTAAAGTTATGAGCAAGACATTTGGCTACTGCATAAATTAGTTTGCTCTGGAGCCCTCCTTCCTGAGCTGAGACAAAAATGTGTGAGCCGGAGGCTAAAAAACTGTGAGCTAGCTCACACTAACTAAGCTTAAAGGGAACACTGGTTGTGATGGTCTTTCCCCACAAAAGGCCCAAACTAGTAACCCACATTGAACCAGACCTAATCAATGGGGGTGGGAGCTGGGGTTTGCTAAGGAGAGGGCTGTGCTCATTCCACAGTGCCGCAGCAAGCCTTTAGAGAGAATCGAGCGCCTTAGTTAGTGAGCCCTCGTGACTGCAAAGCTGGATAGGAAAACTCAAGTCAGAAGGGTGTGAGTGCGACCGTCAAAATATCCAGAGGCACTGCAGCTGGTGCCCCTCCCTGAAACTGTCTACCTGCAGCTGGTGCTCCTCCCCAGTGACTGAAACAGAGTCCGTCACAACCAAATATATGCAGGTATTTGATCTGCATAATTTTTAGGTGAGACACAAAATTCCAGTTTGACGGAACTGGAACTCCTTTGGCTCAGATCTAGATTTTAAAAACCTCAGAGTACAGACATAGTCTTGCCCACATTCCTCTGCTAGTCCTCTCCTGAGACAACTTCCCCAGTCAGCCTTACTTTTGGTTTGTTGACGGGAAGAGACGTTCGAGAGGCCGTGAGGGTAGATGTTGTATGGCCGGCTGGCAAGATTCTTGAAGACAATCTGAAACGACAGTTTTCACATTGCGGTCACGGCTGGTGTAGGCTCACGGAGCCCATAAAACCCATTAAATTATGTCCTTAATGAGGAACAAAGCATGGTTTAGAAAACTGGCATGTTCGCAGATCCCGCTTGCGTAGGTATCTCGTTGTGCATAAATATTCACAGGTAAAAAACATGAATGGATTTTATTAGTCTTTCCAGCCAACAGCAATTAAAATGCTTTGGAGAGTTTCCCATCCAGGTCTAGGACAGATCCAGGCATGGTGAAAACAAGTCAAGCTGCTGCCTCTCTTCCCTGTAACGGCCTCACTGGTAGCAGTTGGTAGCTGCAAGTGGCTGGACAGGGGTTCGTCCGTTTTTGCTCTACATCTAGTTTGACACCATTGGGGAATCTTTGTCCCAGGTAGGAATTTTTCGCTATTACCCAGGATTGGCAATGGGGTGGTAGAGTTTTCGCCTACCTTACACTGGAGCAGTGGAACAACGGGTTTGGGGCGTGGCTGTTAAATAGGTTGGTCACTTTGGCAGATTAGGGCAGGGATAAGGAAGCGGAAAATGGTGAGCACCTTAAGCCGTCCCGTGTTTGGGAACCGGGGGTCTTCAGGAACGGCCTGCGGGCTACTAAGGCCCTGGGCGTTGAATGATGATTCCCTCTGGGGGCCTCTTGGGTAAGTGCCTCTCTGCAAGCTGTAGGGTTTCAGGGGTAGGCGCTCCTGGGAGGCTACCAGTGGCTGGGCTGCTGGTTGCAAGCCAGATTAATGGCTCAAGACCGGGGTTGGTGGCTCGCCCACATATTAGGCCAGGAGGTTGGTCAGCGTGACACCTGCCTGGTCTGTTCCGCTACCTAGGAAGCACTCCCTTGCCGGTTTTTGTTAATAAATTGTATATAGTTAATAAAGTGGCCCTTGTTTGATCCAAACTGTTGTCCGCCTCGTTATTACGACTGTGGGGGCAATGGCCTCACTGGTAGCAGTTGGTAGCTGCAAGTGGCCGTTTTTGCTCTACATCTAGTTTGACACCGTTGGGGAATCTTTGTCCATTTTTGCTCTACGTCACCACTGGGGAATCTTTCCCACAACCGGCTAGGCCTGTGACAACTCTGGTGCTAGTGAGCAAGAAGCCGCCGTGAACGGAAACAGTTGTGAGAATGAGCCCTGTGATCTTCAGGAGGACATGTCAGGAATCCAGACGTGGAAGCATGACCAAAATAAGTTGGAAGTACGTGAGGAAGGAAGGGCTCGTGGCTCGGCAATGGAGCACAGACCTTGCGTGGAGAAGGACCCTGATCCTCCTGTCCTTCAGAGGGGGCACAGAAATGAATGCAACCCTCTTCTCTGTCTCCTTTTGACAGGGAACTCAGTGTCTTTTCCCCCCTCTTATGGGCTCATCTTTCGTAGTTAATCTAAACACGCTTCCTTTGATCCCAAATTTTATTCATGTCAGAACAAGCATTCCTGAGTGAAGGATTCTCCTTCTAGCAGCGGGGTTTAGCAGATATGACTAAGGTCGCAGGATCGTTGCACTATTGTAATCATTCGCAACTGGATTTTCTTGTTTGGACGCGGCAATCCAGTTGGGAAAGATTCTTCTAGGGCAGCCATAATGCAGTATCCACTGCTGTTTGGTTGCATTACTAGGTGATTAGATTCTTTCCCAATGGAGCCCTTATTTCTGGTGGCCTGTACCCCCAGAGAAAGACTATATATGATATTCTGCCCCGTCACAACAGACAACACTGATCCAGTCCTTTGACTCGGTAAAAGGCAGCGTCAAAAGACCTCCATTTCCAAAGTGGAACCTCTCTTACCTTAAGCTCATCTCCAACTTCTCCTTTGAGGACAGGGCCCAGAATTCCCATCTGAGGATCATGGGGCTTCTTCCGCCTCTTGAAAGTCCAGTCCTCATATTCCACATAGATCGCTTTCTTATATCTGGAGCCAATCCTCTGGGGGCCTTGTTCCAGAAACTGCCTGGTGTAAGTGCTGCCGAGGAGAAGGGGGAAAGAGAAAGTGTTCCATGGGCTAACTCTGGCCATCCCTGCAGCTAGGGTCTCCAACTCAGGGTTTTGGAATATATGGAGATGTGAGGGTGCAGCCTGGGAACATGGGATTATGGGGGGGGGGGACCTCGCTAGGGTATAATGCCATCTAGCCCACCTTCTAAAGCAGCCATTTTCTCCAGGAGAAGCGGAATATATGTTTTAAATAAATAAATAATGAATGAATGATTAATGTCGTCTGGAGGTCAGTTCTAATCCCAGGAGATCTCTACCCCCACCCACCCACACACAACCTGGAAGTTGGCAATCCTGCCTGCAGCCCACGATGCCTTTGATTAATTGTGTGTTCCAGTTTGATACCTTCCACTTTATCAGCTGCCCTAATGGTTTTCTGCCACTTTTCAACAACTTTTAGTCTGTTGCTGTTTTTTATCCCACTCCTGTGACAGTTGTTTATAGCATAACAGGGGTCATTTCCTGCAGGAGCGCACAGGAGCAGAGTTCCGGCAGTAAAGAGCCCAGGGGGCGGGCAAATGCAACAAGCCCCACCCCCTGCTCCCAGCAGCCCTCAGTCAGAGCAAGAAGCAGCCAGGTAAGTTGCAGAGCCCCCCCGGCCCCCCCGGTCCAAAACAGTCCAGTGGCACCTTTAAGACCAGGTTTTATTCAGGTACAAGCTCTCCCTCCTCTGCGAGGGCAGATCTGCACCCCCCCCCAATAGCTAGCAATCCAAAACAGTCCAGTGGAGCCTGAGCGGTGGGTGTTGCCTTCTGACACACTTCCGGTGATGTCAGGGGGTGTGGCATAGGCAAATAAGTTATGCTAATGAGTTATGCTAATGAGCTCTTGCACCTCTTTTTCAATGAAATGACCCCTGTAGCATAATATTCCTCCGTGAACTTGTGGAGGCAATAAGCATGGATCCTAAGCGCCTTCCATTTGTGCTAGGTACTTCTGCTTGAGGAGGAGGAGGAAGAGGACAATTTTGGCCAATTCCCCCCCCCCTCACTCCAGGCACACACACCCCCGTTTGCCCCATATGGTTTTCCTGGAGGTCCAACAACCCACAAGGGCGCAGGGATTGTTCTTGTGATCCGCAGGGATCATAAAAGCAAGAAGCGGGAAAGTGGCCATTTATGCAGTGGAGCTCCACTCAGGCTGCGTAGATTCCACCACGCTTGGTTTTTTTAAGGATGTCGTCATGTTTTCCCCCAAGCCTGCTAATAAATATTTTATCTAGTGGATCTGTGTCCTGCCCTTCCTCAAAGCAGCTTAGGGTACCATGCATGGTTCTTCCTTCCCCATTCTATCTCCACAACAGCCTTGTGAGGAATGTTAGGCTGAGAGTATATGACTGGTCCAAGGTCACCCTGCAGACTTCAAGTCAGTGTGGGGCGTTGAATCCAAGTATTCCCAACCCTAGCTCGACACATTAACCGTGACGTCACACTCGCTCTCATTTTAAATGCAAAGATACTTAAATTACCTGCTTCTGAAACATCTGACAAGGCAGAAGTCTTTTTCTAACTTGTTCCCCAAGCTCCTCTAACGGCAAACGTCCAGGACAGGATCTATAACATTTCCACCAAAAGCCTGGGAATTTCTTTGTATATGCTCAAGGTGGCAGCACTGTACAGATTCTCAAAGGGACAGCACATTATCCTTGGGTATCATTCATTATGAGTGTATTTTTGCAGGAGAAAAGTAGAATCATTAAGTGGGGGGGTGGAAATCAGATTTCAGCAATGGGGATACCACCGATGCCAGAGGGGAAACCTATTTTGCGTACTATACTAGTCTGGATGCAGGTTGCTATCTCATTATGGATTTTGCAACATTTTTATAAGAACCCAAGGCATGAACAGGCATTCTGCAAGAGGGACATGCCTTAAAATCAAAGTATGGCAACGCAAAGACCAGTGGTATTTTGTAAAAGGAAGGGAAATGCCAGATAGCATGGGGACCATTACCTGTTCAGGTAAGTGGGCCGGACGGGGGCATAGTCCCACTCAATCTCCTCAGCCGCAATGTAATGTGTCCAGGTGACAGGCTGCTGCTTGGCGAAGCTACGGACATTGAGTCTGGGTGCAGAGTCCTCCACGTCCATGTTGATCACGACACTTTCCATATCATAATCTTCACCGTAGCTGTCATAAAACTCATTTGCAGCATGTTCTGCCAGCCGCATCTTCTTCGCGAGCTCCTCTGGACAGAATTCCACCTTGACGTAAGTTTCCATGCCAGCTGGAACCAAAGACCCCCACCCTAGCATTAGTATCAGTGTTCCCTGGGCTAGAGGTCTGGCCCTGACTGATGGTAGAGTTACCTGGTCAGAACTCCAGGTGCAAATTTGGCCTCCGAAACCAGCAGTGAAGAGGCAAGAGTTACAGACTGGGGATGCAGAAGAGATCAAACATTTCCAGAACTCTGAAGATATGGGGGGGGGGAGCCTGGAGGAGGGATGAAAATGTACTTTCTTATCCAGCTGAATCTTATTTTACTGCTTTAACAGCTTTGAAAGGTTGACAGCTTCCTGGTGGGGCCAAATCTCCAGCAATTTCCCAAGCCAGACTCAGCAATACTAGCATAAAATGCATGATTTTCCACCTTAGCCTGTTCTGCATTGTGCACTTTATTAAAGTGTTCCATCGACACTTCCCAACCTGCTGGCCCTCCGGGCATATCTATAGCATTTGCTTGTGATGGCCATCTTGACTTCCTTTAATACGACACATATTAATGTAGAGTTAAGTAAATATTACCTTGCTGGTGAGATGGTATTTGGCAGAACATTCGAAATGTGCCATTGCTGCTGGGCATTGTCTCTGCAGTGAAGAAAGTGAATGGGGAGATGTCCAGAGTGTTATGCCGGTGATGCCTAACCAAGAACGTGTGGCCCTCAAAGAAAATGGAGTGGACTTCTGGGCTGGTACCCATGCCTATGACGTGCCAGTAGACCGTTTTCTTCTGGCATACTTTTAGATCTGCACGGGAAGAAAGAAGATGGGCCAGTGATATTCAGGGCTGAGAATTACCACTTGATGACTTGTGAGCTTCAACAGACCCCCCCCCCCCCCCCCCCGCCACTACCGGAACACCACCCTTTTTTATGTATTTATTTTGGTACCACTTTTTAACATAAATGTTCCCAAAACAATTAAATACGTGTAAGATGACAGAAAATTTTAGAAGAATGATCCGTGGGAGGAAAGGCAACAATAAAGAAGCATTCCTAGTGTAATCCCAAATGTCCAACAGAATAGAAATGTTTTTACTTTTTTCCAACATAAGAATAAGAAAGGACACAGAAGGGCCTCTTGGGGAAATATATTTCAAGCATCTGGAACCACAAACCACAAGACTTTGCTCCTGGAAAGATGGGAGCTGGAACAGAGCTTCATTAGCCGATCTTAAAACATTGTGGGGTTCACGTGAGCAAACTAAAATTGTACTTATACTAATCTAGTATGAGGGTTCAATAGACCCCAGGTAGAAATAAAATAAATAATTTTTAATAGAAATTTAAAAACCTTGGAGGTTTCATAGAGCAAAGAAAAAAACGTCTATACTGCATTTAATATTATCTTTTTGGCAGTCCAGGAAAAACACAGGAGCAAGGCTACCACAGGAAAGATATAAGAAAATAGTCCAGTTTCATGGTACCTGGTTATTTGACTTCTCCATTTAATGGAAGCTGGAGTAAAAGTGACCCTAACACAGCCAATGTATAGAACTGCCAGCCTCCAGTTGGGGCCTGGAAATCTTTCAGAATTATAACATCTCTGGACTACAGAGATCAGTTCTCCTGGGGGAGACAGCTGCTTTGAAGGGTGGACTCTATGGCATTATATACCACTGAGGTCCCTCCTTTCCCCCAAACCCCACCCTCCCCAGGGTCCATGCCCAAATCTCCAGGAAATTCCCAATCTGAAGTTGGCAACCTTAGCATATACTGCAAAATAAGTGTGTGTGTGTGTGTGTGGTGGATGGAGTAAACACTGCAGATTGATTGACCTCAAGGCTGAGCAATATATGAAGTTAGAAACAGAATAGTATTTTTCTCACTTTGGGGATCAATCTGACCCTTTTTGGACTTGGTCCAAATATTTGCTCAATTTCATTTGTAAGATAAAGGATAAATGTTTTCCAAGTATGAGAGATATTTCATATGTCAGTGTTACATTATTTTTTGATTTTGCATGTGCTTGATCTCTACCTTTTTGTATATAATGTTACACCAAAACCCATTTATTGTGAAAACTTACTATTTGTTTAAATCCATTATTAGCCATGTTCTCTAGAAGCAATTCTTGGATAGAGTACAATAACATCACAATAAAGACATCAAAAACACAGTAAGAAATACTCTTAAAAATTGCTTTTAAAAATTAGTAAAAACAGCACACAACAGAGGAGAAGAAGAAGAGGAGGAGGAGATTGGATTTATACCCCGCCCTTCACTACCCAAAGGAGTCTCAGAGCGGCTTACAAACTCCTCTCCCCTCTCCTCCCCACAACAGACACCCTGTGAGGTAGGTGGGGCTGAGAGAGCTCTGACAGAAACTGCCCTTTTTTCAAGAACAGCTGTGTCAGAACTATGGCTTGCCCAAGGTCATCCAGCAGGTTCCTTACGAAGGAGTGGGGAATCAAACCCGGTTCTTCCAGATTAGAATCCGCGCACTTAATTTAAGCATAAAAACACAGGAAAACTATTCCGTAAAAGCAGTCACTCCAGTCTGTTAAACAGCACAACGGGGCACAAGAATGTGAGCCAATTAACTAAGAAGACTGCTGCAGGGAGGGTATTTCAAAGCCAGAGTGTCACCACAAAGAAGGACCCATCTCTGGTCACCATCCTTCAGTTACACAGCACTATGCATGTGTTCCAACTTTTATAATGAAGCCTGGCTTCCAGGGAGAAACTTCGTTGTGTGGCAAAAGCACTTTTAGCCTCCAGAGCAGTGAATAGATAACACAGCCCCATCCCAATCCCCACCCCCACAGTTTTCGAGTCTGTTTTCATGTGCTGGATTGCAGATACTCAGGTTACGGAGTCAAACCATTCATCCCTTGAGGTTTATCACCTTCTGCTTACTACTTTTTTGTCACGCTTTCCCTCTTTTTCTTGAAGGGAAGGGAAGAGGGGCACTTACCAGGTAAAGAGGAATTTATGTACCCATTAACAGTGTGCAGCTGAGTCCAAGTAGTTCCCGGGGTGTTGGATTCAGAGTACCAACTTTTGCCTAAATGGGGGGAAATGTTTTTAAGAAAGAAAGATTGTTGTGATAGCACCGCATCAGATAACAGCTCTGAGATCAAATCACTTTGTGGATCCAATCCCTGAAAACTGTAGCTCTATTCATGTGACCAGAGGTCATTTCGGGGGGGAACGCGGGGGAACGCAGTTCCCCCGGGTGAGGTGCAGGGGGGTGGGGCACATGACGAAGCCCCGCCCCCTGCTTCCAGCCGCCCCGCTTCCAGCCCTCATTCAGCCAGGAGGAGGCAGGAGAAGAGGGAGGGTAAGTTGCTTCCTCTTAAAACATTGTGGGGTTCACGTGAGCAAACTAAAATTGTACTTATACTAATCTAGTATGAGGGTTCAATAGACCCCAGGTAGAAATAAAATAAATAATTTTTAATAGAAATTTAAAAACCTTGGAGGTTTCATAGGCAAAAGAAAAAAATGCCTATACTGCATTTAATATTATCTTTTTGGCAGTCCAGGAAAAACACAGGAGCAAGGCTACCACAGGAAAGATATAAGAAAATAGTCCAGTTTCATGGTACATGGTTATTTTACTTCTCCATTTAATGGAAGCTGGAGTAAAAGTGACCCTAACACAGCCAATGTATAGAACTGCCAGCCTCCAGTTGGGGCCTGGAAATCTTTCAGAATTATAACATCTCTGGACTACAGAGATCAGTTCTCCTGGGGGAGACAGCTGCTTTGAAGGGTGGACTCTATGGCATTATATACCACTGAGGTCCCTCCTTTCCCCCAAATCCCACCCTCCCCAGGGTCCATGCCCAAATCTCCAGGAAATTCCCAATCTGAAGTTGGCAACCTTAGCATATACTGCAAAATAAGTGTGTGTGTGTGTGTGTGGTGGATGGAGTAAACACTGCAGATTGATTGACCTCAAGGCTGAGCAATATATGAAGTTAGAAACAAGTATATGAAGATAGAAACAGAATAGCATTTTTCTCACTTTGGGGATCAATCTGACCCTTTTTGGACTTGGTCCAAATATTTGCTCAATTTCATTTGTAAGATAAAGGATAAATGTTTTCCAAGTATGAGAGATATTTCATATGTCAGTGTTACATTATTTTTTGATTTTGCATGTGCTTGATCTCTACCTTTTTGTATATAATGTTACACCAAAGCCCATTTATTGTGAAAACTTACTATTTTTTTAAAATCCATTATTAGCCATGTTCTCCAGAAGCAATTCTTGGATAGCGTACAATAACATCACAATAAAGACATCGAAAACACAGTAAGAAATACTCTTAAAATTTGCTTTTAAAAATTAGTAAAAACAGCACACAACAGAGGAGAAGAAGAAGAGGAGGAGGAGATTGGATTTATACCCCGCCCTTCACTACCCAAAGGAGTCTCAGAGCGGCTTACAAACTCCTCTCCCCTCTCCTCTCCCCTCTCCTCCCCACAACAGACACCCTGTGAGGTAGGTGGGGCTGAGAGAGCTCTTTCGAGAACTGCCCTTTTTTCAAGAACAGCTGTGCCAGAACGGGGCACAAGAATGTGAGCCAATTAACTAAGAAGACTGCTGCAGGGAGGGTATTTCAAAGCCAGAGTGTCACCACAAAGAAGGACCCATCTCTGGTCACCATCCTTCAGTTACACAGCACTATGCATGTGTTCCAACTTTTATAATGAAGCCTGGCTTCCAGGGAGAAACTTCGTTGTGTGGCAAAAGCACTTTTAGCCTCCAGAGCAGTGAATAGATAACACAGCCCCATCCCAATCCCCACCCCCACAGTTTTCGAGTCTGTTTTCATGTGCTGGATTGCAGATACTCAGGTTACGGAGTCAAACCATTCATCCCTTGAGGTTTATCACCTTCTGCTTACTACTTTTTTGTCACGCTTTCCCTCTTTTTCTTGAAGGGAAGGGAAGAGGGGCACTTACCAGGTAAAGA